TCGCCAACCATATCCAGCAGAACCAGAGCCTCGTCTGTTGACAACGACTGTGTCATCACCACAACAGTCACTGAAGCGTCTGAAGTGAACCATTTGAACAAAACTAAGAACTTGAGAATTAGAAAAACTAAAGTGTCGTCAAGTGAACCACCATTTAGTCCAAACAACAACGGGTCGAGCGATGAAGACTTGACAGTAAAGGATAGTTCGGGTGTTCAGTGGCCTAATAGGTCCCGATTAAGGACTGCAACGGCTGTGAAGAATCAAAAGATTACTAAACAAAAAAATATGAGTTTTATAAAAGATACAAATAATGATAAAATTGCAAACCGTTTAGTCGAAAGGCCAAAGAAAGGTAACATATATTGAATGAACAATATTGAGAATACAGTAGAATGTAATGCAATGTTTGTGTGTTTAGGCCGTGATAGGGACCAAAGCAAGACATCGTCTACTCAACGCTCAACCCGTCGTTCGCGGGACCACAACATTGTGATGACAACGACTGGCATTAATCTGAATACCAGTGATTCTTCATCCGAATCACTTCACATGGAAATCGTTGGCTTAGATCTGTCTAACGATTTGCCCAACAATTATAGTAACGACGCGTCGACCGCATCGACCACTTCACCCATCATTACGTCTTCATTATTAGTCAAAAGAAAGACGAGGATTGGACTCAATAACAACAACACCGGTATTGTTGACTATATTGGATAACATTCGTAATGAGTATTACTAAACGAGAATCTATTTGATTGACAGACCAATCGGATAACAACACCACAAAACGGAGAAGAGTTGTTAAAGAGAACCACAGGTAGTGACCAATTGTGACCATAGATGAAGATGAAGATGATATCATTCATACCACCAATTAATAACTTATTGATAACTATTACGTCTAATTGATTAATACTGACTGATATGTTGGTTGGTTTGACCAAAGGATCACTTAATGGTTTGAAAGCCATCACTGATTCACTAAAATAAGTGATGATTTAAATGAGTTATTGTCTGTAAATACAACACATATTTGACAAGAAATGAAACTAATATTTGGTTATATATTTTATGCGTGAATTTATTTACACTTTAAACTGCTATATATATAAGAGAGTAATACTAAACCAGATATTATTGATTAGTTGAAGCGCTGTAACAAATGTGCAATTTTTGGTTATAAATCCCTTTATTTCAATGATTGATATATTGTACACATTTTCTATACGACAAACATATAGACATCAATTGCTGTTGCAATTAGTATTAAATGGTTTTATTAGATATTTGTTATATTATTACCTAACCTATCGATAAAGGCATTGGTATTTAAATACTGATCTAATTTTAAATACATTTTTATTGTACATATAATTTCTTAAAACTGTTGCCTCAGTCGATATATTAGAGTTTTATTATAATTATTGGCATTTATTATAATTATTATTATATTATTATTATTATTGATTAATATTTAATTTAAAAGAGATTTAACAGAAAAAATCATTAATGAAATTGCACTTTGAATTTGTTTAAACTGTAAAATATTTTGGTACCAATCAATCAAATGACTTATATTTCATGTCATAAATTGTCATCTCTTTTATTAAACACTAAATATATATATAAATATATACATAAATATATAATATATATATAATTATATAATAAGTTGGTCTATAATTCAATGTAAAGCATAGCATCGTTCATGACTTACCAATTGATTAAATTAATAATTTTAATTAAATTGCTGTCAATTTATTCAATACGGGTATACCTTGTGTTGCCATTGATTGTATAGTACTTCATATTAATCACAACAATGCCATCGAAATAATCATATAATTGATAACAATTATTGTTAACATAACTGTAAGACTTACAGTGGAAGTGATATTCGCAATGCGAGAGCACTATAACTTTGGACACTCATATGGATTAGTTCTCTGCCATACATTTCATAATGAATTATACCATCATTTAAATCAATCAATAGTTTGTATCAAATTTATTGAACACATCATTACATAACTATTAATCGATTTAACAATTAAAACAATTTAATCTCAAAAACTAGTGTTTGTTTTCAAAAATGGCTTTTAATATATTCTTTAAGGACTACTTAAATGAAAATTAAAGTAATTTAGACTTAAATCCGAATAAAATAATTACAATAATCTAAACATAACTACATTTATAATCTTTAATTTGATGACCGAATGGATGTCCTCTTCACTCATCTCCGAGGAAGGGATTGTCGTAAAGGCCGAGAGCTATAAGTCGTTGCTCTTCCTTCTCCACGTCATAATTCCTATACAAAGCGTACAAACAGTGATTCAATGAGAAGACAATGCGAGTGAACGGATCCACTCAACGGATCCACTCAATGACATACTTGTAAAACTCAGCGTAAGTCCGTTTGCGAGGCTCTGCCACCGCATACTTCCAGGCGATGGCGCCGACCAAAGACAGACCAATCGATATAAACAGATGTCTCCTCACGAAGGCGTGAGCGTGTCCTCGAAGTACGGGTTTAGGGATCCGACCGCCGGTTACCGCTGTGTTGGCCATCACTTCAATCGATAAGCAATTTAAGCACAAATAAGTCTTGTTTTGTTTGAGAGGCACTCCTTTTCTAACACTACTCTCACATCCCTTTCGCAAACACTATTACATGCAATAGTGTTGTGCTGACACTAGTGTTGCATTCAATTCATTAAATTTGCAATTTAATGCTTACAATTAGTGAATAAAATTAGATAATCAATAATTAAACACATTTTTGGACATTAAATATCTTTTTATAGCACTTATCATAACTTATAAGAGCTTTATTTATTTGCTTTTGTACACAACAAATGATCTAACTTACGGTACATTAGTTCAATATGATAAATTTATAACCTAGCGCATTTAAATTATTTAATTCACTAGTTTATTCACATAAATTATATATTAGTTAAACTAATAATTGAATTGAATTAATGATATTTAGAGCTGATCTTTCTGAGGGGTCTTTATATTATGAATTATAATAGATTTATAAATTTACAAATTAAAAGTACAGTATTTCTTAAGATTTAGAAATCTTACAGTTATTAAATAATCAGATTTAAAAAGTATTACTGTTAGTTAAATTATTATTATATTAAATACTTTTGTAATGGATTTATATTTTTTAATTAGATATAAACTGATATACAATTAGTTAAATAAAAAGTAAATCTATTTTTATTTTTAATTATTATAATTTTATATAATTAAATAAAAATTATATTAAATTAAGGAGAATGAGGTCATAATTACTTTATTTCCTAGAATATTTGTGATCAACACTTCATTTGTTATGTTATGCTTAAAATGCTAAGTAAGTGAAAGCAAACGACAGAATTTTCAAGAATTATTGAAAATTGTTTAAAATTTTATTAATCACATGTTATATTATGCAATATTAATACCACTTTTGATTACAGTATATGTTACTAACATGCATTTATTGTTTTTTTAAATGAAATTACAGTCGAAAATGGATATAATATACACATGAAATTTTCGAAAAGTGGGGATTATAACGATGTGTTGATTATAATGAACTTGTATTCACTCCATGTATAACTATTTTAGACTCTAATTATAATATCG